GAACTATCTAGCCCATGCCGCGTATAGCTGCGCGGCACGGGGTTCGAACGAGCCGGCATTTTAAAATGGCGCCGGCCGGCTTATGCAAATGAAGCCCGGGAAATTCAAATCCCGGGCTTCATTTGCAAGTGCGGTATGACTACATTACCACCCTAGTTCGAACTAGGGTGGTAGTGTAGACATACCCATAGATGTTAAATAACGATGGTGCCAGTACAGAGCCCTGAGGGAGACCATTATTCAGTGTTCTGGGTCTACTAATGCTATAATTGAGGTGCACACGAAACCAGCAATCGCCAAGCATTGCTGTCAATAGCCGAAGTGTTGGCTGGCACTGAATCAACCTTGATAGTTTGCATAGTAGTCCCTTGCACCACACTGTGTCGTGTGCAGCTGACAGATCGACAAGAGCTATGCCAGTCTTCATTTTTGCCTGGTAGCCAGCTTCAATTGTGGTTGTGAGGGCCAGCACCTGGTCGCATGTACTTCTGCCTTGCCCTAAAACCAGCCTAGTCTTTTAATAACCCAGACTCTATGGTGGCAGACAAATGAGCCAATAGTGCTTGCTCCATTTCTTTACTGGTATTGGAAAGAAGCGCTATTGGTCTGTAGCTTGAGGCACTATCTGGTGGTTTTTCATTCTTAAGAATTGCATCACATTGTTGTGGAATGCCCAACATGAAAATTCACTGGCTCATTTGAGGATATCTACAATCTAACCAGTGACGCTGTTCGCTGGCTGGAGAGCTTGGATGTCCAACTTTGACAAAGAAATATAGCATTGAACACAACATTTGAAAGAAGAAGAAGACTACAGTAGCAGAGTTATCAGTAGCTTCGGTGCCAGGAATCCCACTCTTTGGCACTGATGGCACCCCAACCAGCTCAAAATTTTCCTTTTTGGGCACTCCTGCAGCTATGTCAGCACAGTTTAGTAACTTTGAGGAGGAAGACTTACCTCAAGCTCGAGTGTCCAAGACTTCCTCACCTAAATTGATGCAGCCCCACCAGTGGCAACAGCAGTGGGTACCGCCACTCATGCCTCCAGATTGGCCGTATTTGGACCCGTGGGCTCCATTCAGACAGCAACCCCCTCCCCAACCAGGGCGCCAGTACCACTCATCTTCCAGACCTTGTCCTCCCAGCCTACACTTGCTAGACAGGTCTGAATTTTCTGAAGGGGTGGAGCAAACTTCCCACTCCCCCCATCTACACACTCTTCTCCATTCTCATCGGCAGACACAATTATGCCCCCATCACTCACAAGTTCGGGGGACAATTTCAAGGCCTTTCAAGACCTATTTAAAAGGGTAACCGACAAACTGGAGATGTCCCTCTCCACTCCTCCCAACACACAGCACAAGCTAACTAATATTCTTCACACCTTGGCACAAACTAGGCTCTCAATACCCATGAATGAGGCGCTGATGGATCCAGCTAAGCTCCTTGGAAGACCCCAGCGACAATCCCACCTACATCAAAGAGGCTTGACCGAAAATATGTTGCCCCAAAGGGTGCAGAATTTCTCTTCACTCACCCCTCACCAAACTCTGTAGTGGTAGAGGTGGCAAACCAGAGGGTAAGCAGCAGACTATATGATCAACTCCATATGACAAGGAATGGAAGAGGCTTGATGCCATGGGCAAAAGATCATACTCCTCCACCAGCCTCCAGCTCCGCATCACCAACTATGTGGTGCTTCTTTCCAAATACATGCACCACATCTTTGACCAACTGCATGGCTGCATCTAGATTGCCACGCTGTGCCAGATCAGCTGATTGTCGGCACAGCGTGGCAGCCATTTTTATTTTAATGAAGCAGGGATTGTTTAAATCCCCGCTTCTTTGACTATGCCGAGTAAAGCCATGTAGTCTAGACATACTCTGATAGAACTGAGAGATAGAGTGGAGTTGTGAAGGTGCAATAAGTAGGTAAGTATGAGTGGGATGTCCATCTGAGGGGGGGTTCAGTGTCGAGTGGAGCACCAGCTAGTGAAATGCTGCCATTTTTTATGATAGTTTTTCCTCATTGCAGGTCTGCATCTGTTCATGAGTATAGTTTGAACTTCCGGAGGACACTGGATCTCTGTCATGGCTAGCCAGCAAGGAGGCATGCATGCAGGTGAAGATACTCGATGGCAGGGTGGCGAATCTTCCCATTCTGTTGCATGAGCATGATGGAACAGGAGGGAAGTGATGTGGGGGATGTCTGGCCATGTGTAACAGAGCTGGATACCAAGTCTGCCTCGGCCACCATGGCACTAGTAGTATCACTTTGGCTCTGTCCTGTTTTATTTTGAGTATCACTCTGTGGATGAGAGGAATCAGTGGAAATGCATATGCTAGAGGTACATCCATTGTCGATCTTGCCGCATCTAGACTGCCTCGCTGTGCTGGATCAGCTGATTGTCGGCACAGTGTGGCAGCCATTTTTATTTTAATGAAGCGGGGATTATTTAAATCCCCGCTTCTTTGACTATGCCGAGTAAACTATTTTATATGGCTCCGTCGACGGAACCATGTAGTCTAGACGTACCCTCAGAGTCTACCTTGCAGCCATATCTGCATTCCACTTGCTCATACAGGATCATTCGGTTTTCACTCATCCATCAATCAAGAGATTTCTTGTGAGGTTTGCACAGTACATTCCCACCAGCTAAAGAACCAGTCCCCACATGGGGCCCTTAACGTTGTGCTAAGGGCATTAACGGGCATTAACGGGCTATGTGCTCCCTTCTCCACCTATCCACGAAGGTGGCCTTCCTCATGGCTATTACTGTCACATGAAAGGTGGGAGAGTTGGGCGTGCTTATGACCGACCCGCCCTATATGGTCTTCCACAAGGACAAGGTGGTTCTCAGGACCCATCCTAAATTTCTTCCCAAAGTCCTTACCACGTTCCATTGTAATGAACCAGTTTACTTACCTGTCTTCTTCCCCAAATCTCATAGTGACAACAGGGAAAGGGCTCTCCATACCCTCAATGTCTGCAGGGCGGTGGCCTTTTACTTGCAACGAATATGCTTATTCCACAAAACGCCTCACTTGCTCATCTCCTCCACAGAGAGATCTCAGGGATATTCAACAAACAGCCTCCTTTGGCCGTATATGTCCATTCCATGAGGGCAATGGCTGCCTCCACAGCCTTCCCCCGCGGTATCCCCACAGACAAGATCTGCAGAGCAATCACATGGGCTTCCACTCACAGTTTCACTCATCACTATGTCATCCAATTGTGTGCAGACACTCACACTTGATTTGGCTGCTTAGTACTTTCAGTAGCTGAAACAAGCCTTCCAAAGTTCCCACCTCCAAGCACTGATACTGCTCTGTAGTCACCTGAAGGTGGAGCACACACTGGGACATTCCTCAAAGAAGAAGGGAAGGTTACTCATCCTGTGCAGTAACTGGAGTTCTTCCAGATGGTTGTCCCCGTGGGTGCTCCACCACCCAACCTCCTCCCTTCTGCTTCGGATTCTGTTTGGGTCCTGATCAGAGAAGAACTGAGGAGCCATCTGTCCACGCATGCACATTACACACTCCAGGCATCTTGTGCCTGAGCCTCGTGCGTGCGGCCAGCCAGGGGCACGGCTATCAAGAATCTCTGGCTGGTGGGTGCAGCGGCACTGGCGCACCTTAAAGTGAAGCATCTACGGGGATAAGCATCTCGAAGAATTCCAGTTATTGCACAGGGTGAATAACCTTCCCTTGAGGACCATCAGCAGGTTGTTTGGATCATGTCGAACAGTTTCTTTTTATAATGTCAGAATGTTTCATTCTCATAAGGTATGCCATTTTGACTTTATTGCTTTGATTCATTTCATGTATATGTTTGTATTTTATATATGAATATATTTAATACTTTAATACAGTAGTGGAACAAAATTAATCAAAATGATAATGTCAAAATTACATATTTACTATATCAAAATGAAATGTTTTGTTGGAATGAAACAAGAATCCCATAAAAATGTCAATGAAATTGACATGCTGTCACAAAAATATTTTGATTTCAGCTACACATGTTTTGACAGAAAATGTACATGAAACCTTCCTCAACCAAGCAGTAAGTCCCAGTCAGTACATACTGTACATCAAGTTTGCCATCTAGTGGTGTATATGAATAATAGCATCTGTTGTTCATCAGCTTATGGGTTTGATAAAGTTGTTGTTTTGATTATAAATGGCTTCCTGTGGAGGGCTCTTAATGTTGCATATGCTTAGCTTTACCCATGTGAGGCCCTCTGACATCTAAGTGCTCATGGATGTAAGTGGTTTTATGCTCAGGCCCAGACCTGTCTGTGCTTAATGCAGAACTGCTCATGCTCTGCCCAAACTATGTGAGTATGGGAAACAGTTGCCTCCCTGCCTGCAGGGAATGCAGTGAGCATTGCATCCTATGAAAGCAGCCAAGTTGGAGTTTCATTATAGAGAAAGTGCCTTTTAAGGAGTGTGCACTGTTCTGCCTGCAGGGATGAGAGGAGTCTTGCTGCCGCAATCCATCTTCCTGAGAGAATGCAGTTCAGATGACAGTTATTTGTGTTCCAGTATCACTTCAGCGGCACTAATAAGATTGCCTCACCACTTGTGCCAGGTGCTGCACAGACTCTGCCTAAGATTGGGGCCTCCCCTTGTGCTGGGTGCTGTACACAGCCCAACTGAGATCAAGAGTCTGTTCTGCTGGGCACTGCCCAGATACCAAATGTGATATGGATCCTGTAGGAAAAAATAGAACTTTTCCATCTTGATCAGGATCTGTGTGGCACCCTTTATGTTACGGTGCTCGGTCTCAGTATAGGATCCTGCACAGCACTTGGCACTGCAGGTATTAGTGTAAAATGAATAATAATAGCTACATCATTGCTCCTGGTCTGGTGATAGCTAGAAACCAGATACCAGAGCAGATGGGTCATCAGTCTGATCTGTGGCACCAGTCATTTCTGTTCTTATTTCCTTTTGTTTATTTCTGTCCCATGTAGGGTTGTGGATAGCTTGGTGTCCTGTGGTTCTAACTTTCTTTGTGACAAAATCCATCCTGTGCTGGGCAGGACTGTCAACCTCCTGATTCCCCACGAAGTGGCTGAAACTGGCTTCACTGGGGAGCTGGAATTCATACCGGCTGCAGCGCTGTGCCCCTGCCTGAAGCTGTTTCCCAACCAGCCTGCTAAGATAGCTGCTGTCTCCATATCCTTTACCAGAAGAAATATTTCCACACGGGGTTGACCAGGGATTCAGGGGGTCATGGGCCTGCTACATTGAGGTGAATTGGACCACAGATGGATGCTCAAAACAAGAGTCACTATCCTCAGGAACCAACATAGCTGAGAGTAATCGAGCCGGTAACTCTGTGCTGAGCATCAGGCCTTTGTATTTGTCCAAGATGCTATTTGGCCCCCACCAATCCAGTCAGCACCTGATACCCTTACTGTATTTATCCTCCCAATCCTCCAGGAGGCAGGACAGTGCTATTATTCCCCCCTATAAGGCTGGAAAACAGAAAGGCTAGTGACTTGCCATGATCACCCAGCACATCTATGGCAGAGCAAGGACTTGAACATGTGTTTCCTGAATCTCACGTTAGAGCCCTCTCCAGTGCTGTGTTCTTCCTCTCAGACAGGTTCACGGGCCATTTTCTTCTATTGAAATTTTTACCAGTTAATGAACCAAGGAGTCAGTTTTAGCTCTTGTCTCATTGATTCTGAAAGGCACTGACCTGTGGATGCAGCCACAACGAATAAGTTGCCACTGAGAAAATGTGCTGGGTGAAAACTCTCATGTTCTTTGCAGCAGGCCAGATAAAGAAGTAAGAATTGTCCTTTTGGCTTTAACATCCACTATAATGTAAAGGGCCAGTAAGTCTCCAAAATAGTGGTGGGCAACCTGCAGCCTAAGGGCCACATGCAGCCCATTGGGATTCTATGTGTGGCCCATGAGACATTCTATTTACTGTTGCCTATGCACAAGGTTGCAAGATTCTGCTGGTTTTCATCCATGTAGCTTTTTTCCTACTGGTATTACAAACGTGACACACATGTAAAGCAAAGGCATGTGAAGTGATGTGCATGCTGATTGCTCACAACATTGACTACAAGAGCCATGCACTCCTTCTGCATCCAATCAAAGTACTGCTACAGTTCATTTGGCACACACTGCAAATTCTAGGTACACAAGTACAGTTAGCAAAACAATTCTATCCCAGGAGACTGTCTTGGTTATAGTCATCTTGAAGCCCACTCATACGGCCCACTCACTAGCCTAGGCTGCCCCTCACTGCTCTAAAATCACTCTGCTGCTGGAAATTGCTGTACCTTGTAGGGATATAATAGTGTAGTTGATTAACCGATAAGCAAAACCTTATAGATTATTGCTATAGACTACATGCATTTCCCACCCCCGTCCCTGCTGGTAAATTTTTTAGCAGGCAGGCCAGCAGCCCAGCTCAGTCCTGGCTTGCGATGGGTCTGGGACCTACCCCTGCTATGGCTCTGCGTTTAAAGTATTAGGACCAAGTATTAGGACCAAGGCAGGCAGGCAGCCCAGCTCAGTTCTGGCTCATGTCATGTCTGGGAGCTCAGACTCCCCTCAGACAGTGGCTGCTGCCACCTTTATCAGAGGCAGCAGCTCAGGGTGACAGGCAGACAGTCCACAAGGGAAGCTAGTTTTTAAACTGCCTGATACAGAGGCAGCAGTGTGGAGTGGCAGGGGCTGTGTGCAGTGGCAGGGGGTTCCTCAGAAGTGAGGCCAGAGCACACTGGCTGCTGGCCCCACCCCTAGGGACTATAGAATACAGGGCATCCCTGCTATAAGTCGCCTCGGTATACGTTGTTTCAGCACTAGTGTCGTTGACGCTTGTGGGAACTACCGTATTTTCCGGCGTATAGGGTGACTGGGCGTATAAGACGACCCCCTATTTTTTTAATTAAAAGATAGGGTTTCATCTTATACCCCAGCGCCCCTCCGCCTCCTTTGCTCCCGGTGTCCCTGGTCTGCTGGAGATGGTCCCCAGCAGACCAGAGGCATCGGGAGCAAAGCCGCAGCAGC